TAGGAAAGGGATGCTGACTATTTTTAAGAAGTATTTATTTCAGAAAAAAAAAGCTTTTATGAAGAGAACTCAGAAGCCAAGTAATCTGCACAGGAGGCTGCAAACCTTAACTTATATGGATAGATGAAAGAAATAATGGGAAAAAGCAATCATCTAAGCGTGAAGGCAGGTGTAGAATACACAAGTACTTAGGTTAATGGTAGGCATGTTAGGTGTTGGTAGCCTGGGGTTATAAAAAACTGGCACATTCTAGAAACTGATAAAAGATTTATGGCTAGGCTTCAGAAGGCATGAAAAAATGTTGAGGATGAATTTGGAGAAATGGGAAAAGACAAACTCATACAGGGTTTAGTACATTCTAATGGTGTTTTTTAAATTTGAAGGCATCAAAAGGCCATAAGTGGGGCAGTAATATGGTAGAACTTACCATTTAAAAATGTGCATTTTCACAAGTGCTTACATGGACAGTCAAGTTTTTGCTAGCTATCTTTTGCAGGAAAGGCTTCCAAAAACACTCTTACTATTCACTGAGACAGTACACCAGGCATTAGGGTTAAGATGCACAATCTGTGGCTGGAAGTTTGTGGACAATGGAGTAAGTGCTTCTTCCAAGCTCCAAATGTAAAATGTTGTAGATGCAGGATTCCACTCTCAGTCTAGATGCTTTCATCTTCAGGAGTATATCCCACAATACATAATAATAACCTTACAAAAGTTATATTGTAATTACCATATGAAATCAATATAAATTATTTTGACAATGTTATTTGGAAGGAAGTCTTTCAAGTAAAACAATTATGTTTTCAAGTAAGCTACATGTTTTCAAGTAAACAATTTTTTTCAAGTAAAACAATTTTTTCAGGTGAAACTTTTCCTTCAGTAAAGATAACTTATAGAATAACAAATAGATTACTGATTTTTTATAATTAATAAAGGAAAAATAAACCACATAAGCTTATCAAAATTTTAAAATATTCCTTGTCAATTTGACATAAAATATTGGCATCTGTAAGATGCCTAAAATTCCTAATACACCTTTACAAGAACTTGGCAAAAACATAGTGACCCTTAGCAATTTAAGGAGTAATTAAGATTATTTACTGTCTAAAGAAATGTGAAGTGCTTTGAAATCACTATACTCACAAAAAACTCATATGACATTTTCCCTAAATTTATCAGTACTAAAAATTGAGATCACCAGTGAACTATAAAAATGAAATAAACTTTTCTGAACTTTCAATAACAGCTATGCTTGAATGAAAATTTGAATCATTCTCACTAGCCATAATGCTTTATAAAATTGTTTTCAAATGGTAAGCAAATAAAAAATATGTACAGCTAAAACTGTAGGTTAAACATAGAGGTGGTTTAGGTAATTAAAAATATTTTTTCTGAATTTATGTTTGCGATATTTTTAATCCTTTCAAATTATGCAGCTGGTTGTCCTTGTTTTTCTTGTTCTAAGTGAGTATCTATCTACATTGCTCCTTCACCCTAGAAAAGAAGTGGAAAATGGACTGAGGAAAAGCAAGAGTTGAAATAGAAATCCCAGTTAGAAGGATAATAATTCATAGCAAATGAGCAATACTACTCACAGGTAGAGATTTTATTCCCACCTATATTTGTATATCCTATTTCATTCTACTTTCACTGTACCCAAAACAGGTAATTTACGTGTATCAGCCAGTTACCTGCTGTATCAGCCAGTCATCTGCTCTCATGCTATATCTGTCAACTTAGAGCCCAAACAGAAAATTCTAAAAGCTGTTACGATAAAAGCACTTTAGTGCTACTGTAAGCCTGGTGAGCAGGAAAAACTGAAGTAATATTCTCTAAGGTTTACCAAATTATTCCCTTATCAATCTCTTGCCAATATCCACCTCTTATTTACACCATAAACACAAAAAACTTTATGGGGGATATGGACACATACATTTTCCTTTAGTTCCTATAGTTTTTATTGAGCCCCAGTCATACAAGAATCCCTCTTTATGACATCAAATACCCTAAGAATACAGGTGTTCAGCACAAACACAATTCAGGTGCAGTTAGCCACTTTTATCAAGTGAGTAGGAAGCAGAAACTCCCAAAATTTAAGTTTCTGTGCTTCAGCCAATGGCCAAACTTACAATCAGAGTTCATTAAGTAAAATGTGATAGTAAAAGAAATGTTACAATTAAAAATCAAAATCTTCTTACTGTATTTGAATGAATTACTATAGCCAGTTATTCCACAATTTCCATATTCACTGTTTGATATCGCCATGTTTCACCATTAGGTGGCAGCATTATCAGGCTTGCTTCTGCAGGCTTCACTGCTGAATTCTACATGAGAACTGTACTTCATTAAGTTATTTTTTTACTTAGAAGAAATATTACAATCAGCATAGTAACTAAAAAATTTCTGATGAATATTATGCATACTGGGAAAGAAGTATGATGAAGGATGAACTTCTAACATTAAAATAGTCCTAGTTTTGTGCTGTAGATTTATCTGCTATTAACATAATTTTACTTATTTCAGTCTTCTATTTAATTAGTAACATTGTTACTGAAGCTCATTCCAGAACTCTGAGCTACAGGCCTTTTTAAAAAAGTGTTTGATTTGCATTTGGTAGTTGTTTAATAGAAACATTTAAGTAAAAATAAATGTGTCGTGACAAACATCCTAATGTCCTAATTCTTAAAGCTGCCGGCATTTTACCTCATTTAGCACTATGAAAATTTAGTTCTTGCCTCTTAGACTTGACAGAGTAGCAGAGTAGGTAATCCTGGTCCTACTCTTCCAGTTTATCCAAAGTTCACTCATTAAGCTGTTTTATATCTCTGTCAGAACTGTATCTTATATATCTAACATCCAAAACCTCCTTCCTTTTGTTTAGATGGCATAGAAATGTAATAATTTGGCCAGGGAGATAGCTCAGTAGAATAAGCGCCTGCTTGGCAAGTGCAGGGTCTTGAGTTCAATCCCTGGTTACACACACACACACACACACACACACACATAAAAAAAAGTCATGATTCCTGACAAACATATGAAGGATCTTGTGATCCCATTAAAGTCTATATCCTTAAAGTAAAAAAATGTACACAGCACTAAAAAGTCAAACACCCAGATCTAGTGTGTGATGATGGATTCATGGGGCAATGCTAAGATTAAGGACAAATGGATTAAGGCTGTGAGTGCTACCCACTCTAGTCTGGATAAGATAAAAGGGGCAGAAAAACATTGTTAAGACCCCTTATTATTTTGCTACCTTCTGCCCACTGTAAACTAGTTCTCCTTTACCACTCTCCCTTGGATCCAGCCCACTATGGACTAAAATCTCTACAAACTATAAGCTAAATAAATAAACCTTTGCCCTTTTAATTTTGGATGTCAGATTTTTTGGTAACAATGAGGAAAGTAATTAACACAAATGGAAATATGGAAAAATTATTTTTGACTCAACTTATTGCCAATTAAGTATTAGGAGGATTACCAAAATGGACAAAATGACTAGATTTTCATATTCCTAATGAAGCAATCTAGAAAAATTTGCCTGTATAATTTACTTAGAGGATTATTGTGGTTTTTACTTTCATTGATGCTGACCTGTTGTATAGCTTTAAATTAATTAACTATTTCAGGGATCTTTTGATCTTTTGCAATAAGTCTCACCAAGCAGTCTATGGTGGTCTTGAATTAACTGTGTGGCCCAGACTGGCCC